CTAGAAAGTACCCTATAGGCAAATTCCAAAATAATAATAATAAAAAAAGTCTACATAAATTGTCAACTACTGTTTGTTATTTTTTATCATTTTTTGGCGCACACAGACATGCCAGGCACTTTACAGAAAACACTTCGAAGACAATTCCCTGCCCTGCGGAGCTTAAAAGACAAGGGCTATGCCATTCTGCAAACACAGGGCACTACTTTACCAAAAATTATTCCAATTACTTCAGTGGCATTCCTCACAATAGTAAGATTGTGCTTATTACACGTGCTAGCAATTTCAGGTCCTAAGTGATGAACATGGCAAACAAGGGAAAATAAAAGACAAAGATATTTTAGAGAGAAATGGTTCAGACGCACTACATCTGTAAATCTTTCTGAACCTGAACATTTTCTGTGCATTTAACGTGCCCAGTTTTCACAAAAAAACCCAACCAAGTCTTCAAGGCCTTATCTTTCAAAATGTCATTATGCAAGTATATGATGCTTAGCATGTGGTTTCTAATGTGATACATTGCTAATGAAGAGATCCTTAACATTGTTTTTAATAAGGAGGAGGAATTGGGAAAGGTGGCAACAATTCTTGAAGAGTAACACCCATATGGTTTCAAGCACAGCCACCCAGTCCTGCACAGAGCAGCACAACTGCAAACCCTGACAAGCCTCCTGCCCAGACTCCAAAGCGAAAAGAAAAGTAGAACATGAGGCCAACTGTGAAACTGAAAGAGCTATCAGGTTTGGGGAGGGCTGCAGGGAAAAAAACTCATCAATTAGAAGGCTTAACAACGAAGATCACTTTTAACTTCACATCCTGAGTATCAGAAAGCCACTATCATAATTTCAGAGCATCCAAAAAGGAGTGACCTATCAACTATCAAAAAACGTTTCTAGAAATACTGTGCCTTCACATCATCGAGTATCTTTCCAAATGTTACTTTGAACCAACAAATATTTAGTTTTAATGAATGGGCAGATCCATACTGTCAAGGAATGACTGAAATTAACATATCTAATATATAGTGAATATATACAAAAAGGCACATTCCCTTCTTTGCCCCATTCTCTGGGCCACAGGAGTTTCACGATAAGATTTCAGTACTATCCCAGATTGGGTCTTTCACTTTTACAAAAGCTAATACTTAAATAACTTTTGCTGTGGCTATAATATGATTTGTGACAGAGTAAAAAAAAAAAAAAAAAAAATTCTGTCAGACTTCTTCATTTGTACAAGGCTTTTAAGAAAGTAATTGATGATTTTTATTATTTATCTATTGTTACTTTTAAGACATAGGTAGAATCTTGTTAGATTTCACTAGTCTCAAAGGAGTGAATTTTGCAAACAAAGCCACAAGAAGTCAAACCTGTGACATCAGAGAATCTGCATTCACGTATTAATTTTCAAAAATACAATCTTGGCCAGTAAGAAGAGCATTTCCAAACTTACCAGTTAAGCACACAGCACTGTATTTCAATCACAGCCACAAGACATGAAACACATTATTATTAAGCGCTTCAGCAAGCTCTTAACAGCTGCTGAGAACATGAGCATTTCTACGGCTTCTGGCAAGATTTAGCAGGTTTGGAAATCAGGAAGATGAGATCTAGCAGAGATATTTTTAGGACCAAATCTCTCAAAAAATAAAAATCACAATCTAAGCAATCATACATGCAATTTGCAGTTAAACTGTCAATTGTACTACTCTGCCTCTTCTGTAGTTTCATATTATGTCGTTATCTTTTAATTCTACAAGGGGAAGTCAGTATGAGTACTAGAGGTACTCAAAAAACTTTAAAACTCCCACTGTGAAACAGCCTACTGTTTGCCAGTGTGCGTACTTCTGAAATTATACTAGCTACTTTTTAAAGGTTACCTATTTCAAATTGAAATTGATGGAACAATCATTTTCACTTCCATCTAAAATGCTTTACAGGAATTACAAAGTGGTTTAATTTGTTAGACATATTAATACTGGCTTACCTACTTTATGTAAAATTATTTCCTCTTTTGAAGTGTTTGATAAAGATTCATTTGAAGGATGCAGTGTCCCACAAATTTATTACTACAGAAAAACTTAAGAAAATCACTTTGCTAGCAGTAGAATCCATGGGAACACTTTAGCATTAGAAATTCTTTCAGATAATCTATTTGGCTCTTATTTGCCTAAATAAATCACATATTCAGAGGAGAGAGGTATTTTTTGCAAATTGTTATAGTTCATCTGGAATTAGCATTTAATATTTATTAATTAGAGCAAAACAGAGTTCATAAAACAGGAGAGCTAGGACTCGAGTTAATTTGTCATCCACGATTACCACCTGGAAGTTCACCAAGTTTATTAAAGACAACTACTGTGCGATAAGGACAGTAGAGACACTATTAACCATGTCATTTAAATTGCTTGAGTTGGCATCGTGCCCAAGTCCTTCAGATCAGCATATCAACACACTTGTTGCGGGCAGGGACTCATTTAAAGGGGGGGAAGAGGAACTCCCTCAGAACTGAGTGTGCTGTACAGATTTCCACAGTAATTCATGAGAATAAGCAGTATTACTCGGCCTTTATCTTTTTGATTCCTAGACAAGAGAATGACAAAATACTGACGATCAAGTGAAAGACTCTGTCCTTCCTAAGAAAAAAATAATGGGAAAGCATTTTTACAATATTCATTTGAAATTACTTGAATTTGCATTTACTGGAACAGCATATTTTGCTTGTAAGTGCAGTGCTGACAAACTAACAAAGACAGCCCCCCCCAATCACTTGCTCTGCCAAACTTTATGATCCCGTATCTCTCCCACCCTTGCCTCCTCCCCAAGATCTCCTGCTTTCACTTCATTAAGCCTGTAGGAAGGAGAAAAGTTCTGGTGGCTGGACACAGTTTATTTTCAGAAGCAGTAAGAGTCATTTTATTTCACTTCAGACAAGAATTGTGCCACAAAGTAACATAACAACACATTTGGGAAGATGCAATTAAGAAGGTACAAAGATTTCCCTTCCCCCCCCCCCGCCAATTCATACTGAAATTAATACTAACATCTTTGTTGGAAACAACCTACATGTTAAGTTAGGCATATTACTTCCACATGTAGAAAACAGTTGGAACAGAAACTTTTTCATTGTACTCTTCATCTCCTGTTTTCCTAAGCTATGTCCTGATTAAGAAAAGAAAGGGTATCCTTTTTTTGGAAGGGAGGAATTCATCAGCTTAACAAGCATCTTGGTACGCAAAAGCAGCTTATCTGTTTGCTAAAAAATGCTGTACTTCCCAATATGCACACCATGGCCAGCAACAGCTCAGCATTCTCCTATTTATCACTTCCCAGCACGAGTGTGCTGGCACTGTGGGCCTGAGCAGTAGGCAAATACTCAGGTACGCACAGTACATGGCCCCGGAGAATGTAATTGTTGGGGAAAAGGCTCTCTTACCTTCCACAAATCGTCCTCTGGCGTCTTCAAGTGAACGATCTGGAAACACAAAACCAAAACCCCCTAAAGTAACAGCACAACCCGCAGCCAGCGCTGCTGCTTTGCCGTCCGTCCCCCCCACTCCCCCACACCCTCCAGACCACTTTCCCACCGCCTGCACTACAAACAGCAATTTTCCCGTGGCATTTATTTTTTTACTGGTGAGCCATAAAATCGCCTGGTTGTCCAATTAATGCGAGCATCATCGTTTTCATTTACCTTTCACCATCTCCAGGGAAGGAAAGCAGAGGGGGGGAAACAGAAAAGCAAATGCATAAAAAGAAGCTTCAGAAACACAAGTTTCAACTCATTTACGATCCCAGATAAAGGTTAATAGTTAAACTCTTTCCTCTCCCTCCCACCCTCACAATTATTGATGCCCTTCAAGAAATGAAATGTTTTTTGTTCTCGTTTACCAGAGGCTAGACAAACTGTCAACATCTCCACTTTATTTACGGGTTGAGCAAGAGCAGTTCCTCAAACATCAACATTTTTTACGTTAATCCTGGAGAGAATCCACTTCTCTAAAACTACAAAATTTGCCAACTTCTGTAGTATTTATTTTTAACGAACGAGAGTGAGAGCCTTGAGCTATCCTCCCTGCCCTCAGAGGAGAGGAAGGGGGAAAGCGCAGCTCCACTCTCCGAACTTTAAAGCCCTTTTCGCCTCCTTCCCACACCACTCAGCCCCTGGTCGCTCTCCACCCCACCACCCTCTCCCACCCCCCAAAAATCTCTCCTCTCCCGATCCCCCACCTGCTCCACGTCCAGTGGGATTTCAAGGGAGGAAACAAAATCTGCCAAGTGGTTCCTTTCGGGCGATTTCTTCAACCCGTCTGGAGGTTTAAACCTGAAAAACAAACACCTCTATTGAATGCAAACTAAGCTTTGGGGGTTGCCGAGTTAATTCCTCGGCAGACAGCTACTCTCAGTGTCTGGTTACACAAACATACCTACAGACAGGTTGGAGGGGAGTCCCTCAGAAACCAACGGGGGGAGAGAAAAAAAAAGAAAAGTGAAAATGGGATAAAGGTGGGGGGGGGGGGGGGGAGGTAGCGGGGTGGGCAGGCTGGAGAGAGGGATGATACGCAGCCGGAGACAGGTTTAATACGGGGAAGGGACGGGGAAAGTTAAAGCAAGGGGCAATCCGGGAGGGGGCTGAGACCCCAGAGGTCTCACCCGGGGATGGGGGGGAAGGGAGGGGGGTGTCCTTTTGGGTGGCGGCGATAACAAGTTTTTAGACACGGCCTAAATAAAACAAAGGAAGGAAGAAACCCGGCCGGCCGCGGCGGCGC